GCGTGCGTGCGTGCGTGCGTGCGTGCGTGCGTGCGTGCGTGCGTGCGTGCGTGCGTGCGTGCGTGCGTGCGTGCGTGCGTGCGTGCGTGCGTGGTGCGTGCGTGCGTGCGTGCGTGCGTGCGTGCGTGTGTGCGTGTGTGCGTGTGTGCGTGTGTGCGTGTGTGCGTGTGTGCGTGTGTGCGTGTGTGCGTGTGTGCGTGTGTGCGTGTGTGCGTGTGTGCGTGTGTGCGTGTGTGCGTGTGTGCGTGTGTGCGTGTGTGCGTGTGTGCGTGTGTGCGTGTGTGCGTGTGTGCGTGTGTGCGTGTGCGTGTGTGCGTGTGCGTGTGTGTGTGTGTGTGTGTGTGTGTGGTGTGTGTGTGTGTCCCAGGGCCCCTTCATGATTGTTTCGCCAGTTCGCACGTCTGGTCATGATTTCCGAGGAAGTCCCAAGCGAGAGGCCCATGTTGAAGAAGGAACCACCCTCCACCCGTGCAGTTCGAATCTGATGGCATTGACCATCATGTCCTTGGTTCTTGGCAACGCACTGGGCGTTGTTGGTTCACCGTTTTGCACTTTGGGCTCTTGGCAAGCTAAAAACCTGGATCTATCATATGTATATGTATATATAGATGTACAACACAATACAACACAACAAACATAAAAGAAACGACGGTGTTGTTGCGCTGTTGATTCCATTGTTTGTTCGCGTGTTGAGGGCCGCCGTCGTGGAACTTCATGTTTGATCGGGTTGTTTTTGTTCTCTGGTCGACAGATGTTCCTTGTCTTCCCTGCTGTCTTCGCTCCCGCTGTTCCGTTTCTGCCGCCGTTCTCCCCCTCAGAGTTAAATGCGAGAAGAATAAACAAAAAAGAGCGCTCCAACACCGGTTGAACACCGGACCGAAACGGGCCCAGAAGGCCGGTGGCCCCAGGAGGGGCCATCGTCCATCGGGCCCGGAGGCCGGGCGCCCCAGCCAGCAGTGAGGGCAAGAGAAAAAGCAAAAGGAACAATGGGAATGATAAGCGAAATCCAGGGAGGACTGCACGCCAGGAGGAGGAATTGAGGACGTCGTAGACGGCAATGTCAAAGCAATGCAAGCTACTGATCTGAAAACGCTCAGAAATCAATAAGGACGAGAAAACAATAATCGTTGTTTAAGCGTTTTAGTTTTCTTGTTGGGATCTTAAGACGCTATTTGAGTTAACGTCGGTCCAACACGTCGAGTTAAAAACGGCATAGTTCAAAATGATAACATCAATCAGCAACAAAAGAAACAACAAAATTGCATGGTCATAATGAAGAAGAACCAAACTCATGTCGAAAAGTAACGATCCAACTTCGAGAACGAATGTACGCCGCGGTACTAGGGTGGCAGGCCCATTTTTGGAAAGGAACCGCCGAGCCACTTTGCACCCTTGTGACTTCTACAAAGCGTGAGAAGAGTGCGTGCGGCGCTAAGGCGACAGCCCAGGTTTGAGCAGGAGCCGCTCTCCATCCTCGTAACCTGCTGCAGGCTTTTTAATCTCGAAGGTGCGCGGCGCCGAGGCGAGAGCGCAGTTTTGAAAAAGAGCCGCCCTCCATCCTCGGAAGTGTTGCAAGTTGGGATGAGAATGCGCGGGGCGCAACGGTAAGAGCCCCACTTTGAAAACGGCTTGTGCTCCATCATTGTAACGGCTGCGCCTTGGAAGCTTCAGGTTCGCAAGTGATTGGGATGTCGCAGCCGAGATGCTCAGCCCGCCCTACTGACACGCCTGGGGACGCGGCAGGGAGGAGTTGCTTACAAGGAAAAGGTGAGGAGCGAGGGCGAGGAGGAGGGCGAGGGTGGAGGGCGAGAGTAGAATAGGATGAGGAGGAGCAGCAGCAGCAGCATGAGGAGGAGGAAGAGGGAAGGGAGGAAAGAGGGAGAGGAGGAGGAGGAGGAAGAGGAGGAGGAAAAGCAAAAGAAGAAAAAGGAGGGGGCGGCGGAGGAGGAGCAGCAGGAGGAGGGAGGACGAGATGGAGGAAGAGAAAACGGAGGGAAGAAAGGAGGAAGGACGGAGAGGAGGAGGAGCACGAGGACTGCGAGGATGGAGGGGGAGTAAGAGGAGGAGAAGGAGGAGGAGGAGGAGAAGGAGGAGGAGGAGGAGCAGGAGCAGGAGCAGGAGCAGGAGGATGAGGAGGAGGAAGCACCAGCAGGAGGAATAGGGAGGACGAGATAGAGACGACGGAGCAGGAGAAGGGTGGAGGAAGAGGAGGAGGAGGAGGAAATGGAGGAGGGAGGAGGAGGAAGAAGAGTAGAAGGGGCAAGAGGAGGGCGAGGAGGGAGGGAGGAGGAGGAGGAGGATTTGGAGGAGGAGGAGGACGACGAGGAGCTTTCACCCAATCAGTTCATTTTCATCAACCGGCCCATCTCAGCGAATCTGCGTGGAGGGAGTCTGGCTTTGAACGTACGTATACACGATGGCGTTCGGCCCATCCCGCCACCATGCCTGGGCCTCCCGAGGACCCTTTGAGACCTTCTGTGGCCCTTCGGGAAGGCCTGGGGGCCTACTGGCAGTGTCGGTGACCGTCTTGGGGTGAAGGGCGCCAGATGTCGTGGCGCCCTTTTGTGCAGTCTTTGACGCCCTTAGATCTAAAATTCTATGATTAATAACAACCATACAGAACAGAACGATGGCACTTCTCATGGCTTGGGCCTATCGGGCGGGCCCCCTCTGGGCCTCCAAGACGGCCCAAGAGGCTCCAAGATTGCCCCAGGACGGCCCTTTGGGGCCGTCCTTGAGCATGATGGAGGTCGAGACCCACGACTGCGCTCCCGAGGCCTCTGGAAACGTCACGCGCGGATTCCCCCAGAGCTCCCAGGAGCGCCTGTAGCTCGGGCGGGACTGAAGGAGGAAGGGACCTGCGGACACCCCACTCAGTGCCTCGAGGCGCGGTGGCGCACGATTGTAGTCCTTCAGTCCCGCTCAGGGAGGAGGGAGGGCGCAACCATTCACCACCTACCAAACCACCGCAACCCCACCCGAAGGCCTCAATTTGCCCTCCATTTCCAGTGGGGGGGGTTCGGGGAACGTTGAAAAAACACATGGAACCCGTACCCCCCCCCCAACCCGAAATTCGGGTCAAATTCGGGTCTTCGGGTTGGGTTGGGGTGGTCTGGTAGGTAGTCAACCATGACCTCCGATGCGATCTCTGAGCGCCCCGCCCTTCACGCTATCCCACGCCTGCTAGAGGCCGGGCATCCCGCCGTGGATCTCGCAGTGGAGCTCGCGCGGTCTCCCGCTCTGCTCGCTCGGTTTCCCCCGTTCCGCTCACGGGGGCCTCCTGTTCTGTGCACGGGCGTCCGTGTCCTCTTCTGGCTAAGGCTGAAGCTAAGGTTGCGGACATTGTCGAGTGGTGATGCCCCGATGACCTCGCGCGCCCCTCTCCTCCTCACCCTCACCCCACCAGAGAGATCTTCATGGGGGATGTGGGAAAGGCACGCGTTCAACGTGGGCCGCTTGCACCCACGAAGAGGCAGGTCCCTGGAGGGAGAGCGACGTGGGAAGCGACATGAGCCTCCTCCTCCTCCTCCTCCTCCTCCTCCTCCTCCTCCTCCTCCTCTCTCCTCCTCCTCCTCATTATCCTCCGCCTCCGCCTCCTCCTCCTTCTTTTTTGGGCCAGCTCGACCTCATCCTCCTCCTCCTCCTCCTCCTCCTCCTCCTCCTCCTCCTCCTCCTCCTCCGAAGATGAACGGGAGCGGGTTATCCTGGTGCGCAATCTCTCGTCCCAGATCGAGTATATAAAGCACCAGAATGACATAATTCTGCAGCTCCTTGAGAATTTCGACACCAAGAGTCCCAGCGTCATCGAGCATAGCTATGTTCCAGATCCTGATGGGGATGGTGCGAGTGAGGTGAGGGGCAGTGCGAGGCAGTAGCAGCATGCACGTGTACATGCGTGTCTAGCTCTCCCTCTTCCCCCTGCTTTCCCCCCAGAGAGAGCCCCTTCCCTTCCCCCCCTCCTCCCCCCCCGCTCGACAACTACGACGTGCGGTGCTGCGACTTCCAGTGGGAGCCGCCGCGCGCTGCGCGAGAGCCGAGGAGGAGGAGGATTTAAAATCTTATTTTTTTCGGCCCGCAGAGTGCAGCGAGCCCGCAGAGTGCAGCGAGCGAGCGTGGCCCACTGAGGTTAGCTCGCTCGCTCCCCCGCTTTGTTCCCCCATCAGTGCTTGCTGAGTTTGGGGTCTGGGCGTGAGGTCTGGCCCCAGACTGTGCTTGCATCGGCGGGGGTTCCGAGGCTGCAATGGGGAGCCCCTGCTGGAGCGGGGCCGCTTCCAGCAACAGCTGGCGCGGCTCCCGCGGGCGGCGGAGGTGACGATACCCACAGTTGCAGTAACTCAATTTCCTAGGGGCTAGATGTGCTGTCAGACATCGACTCATGGCCCCCAACGGCTCCACCACCACCACCACCTCCTCCTCCTCCTCTTCCTCCTCCTCCTCCTCCTCCTCCTCCTCCTCCTCCTCCTCCTCCTCCCCCTCCTCCTCCCCCTCTCCTCCTTCACCTCCTCATCCTCCTGAATTCCTTTTCCTCATAAATGATTTCTCCCTGTCGCACCCCAGGGCCGGTCGAAAGGGCGGGCAGGGCGTTTCGCTGGAGATTTCCTCATTATGTATGACGTTGAAGCTTAAAATTGGCAACAACGTCACAGATGGAGGGCGGGTCGTTGTTTTTTAATGCGGCTCTCACTTTAGCGCCGCGCACATTCGTTTTTGCATTTGCCAGAGCTTTACGGATTGAGAGCGGGTGGTTTTCACAATGTGGTTCTCGCCATAGCGCCGCGCAAATTCGTTAACAAAAATTGAAAGAGCTTCACGGATTGAGGGCGGGTCGTTTTCAAAATGCGCCTCTCGCTTCAGCGCCGCGCACATTCGTCTTAGAAATGTGCAAAAATGTCGCGGATTGGGGGCGGGTGGTTTTCGAAATGTGGTTCTCGCCTTAGCGCCGCGCACACTCGTTTTCAAAATTTGCAAGAGTGCCACGGATTGAGGGCGGCTCCTTTTCAGAAAGTGGCTCTTGTTTTAGCGCCGCGCACATTCTTTTAAAATACAGAAGGTTCACGGATTCACATGGTCAACATATGAGAAATGGGTTTTTGGAAAGATTCACGATTATGAGAGTGCAATTGTTACTTTGATTCGCTGCGTTGACGTCCCAGGAATGGCGTTCTGGCACGATTCAGGATAGTCAAGACGCAACAGTCAGGTTGATCCGTGGCATTGGAGTCCCGAGAATAGTGTTGCGGCACGCTTCAAGCTCTTCAAACGGTTGTCTTCCAACGAGGCACTTCCCTCAGTGGAAATGAACCGTTGTGGGGGCCTATGAAGAGGGAGTTCGGAGGGAGGGTTTATTCTAACATCGTTGATGCCTCTTGGGTTTACACTGGTCCTCCACAATTACTCAAAATGAATATTACTCTCCCTCTTCCCCTGATGACGTGCTGGGAGTGTTCGCCCCCCCCCCGCGTCCTGTTTTTTTTACACACAGGATTCCCGGGAGTTGGGTTTTCGCTTGCATTTTTTCCCAAAATGCTGCTCTCGCTGAGGCGCCGGCCTCATTTTCGGGCCTCCGTTCGTTCCGAATCGTGCTCCCGCTGCAGCGCTGGCATCATTTCCGCGCTTCCGCTCGTTCCGACTCGTGCCCCCGCTGCAGCGCTGGCGTCATTTCCCGTGCCATGCTGCTAGGGTGATACTACGCTTCGCGGTGCTCTTCTACGCCATGCCACGCCGTGCTCTACAATGCATCGCGTACCCTTTCGGGATCATCGCCCTGCTTGACATCCGACTGTGCAAGTAGAGAGGGGATCTGCGCCATGGGAAGGGATGGGAGGGAGAGGTAGGATGTCAGATATGACGCGAGCGCACCTAGCTTGTCCCCCTCCCCCTCCCCCTCCTCCTCCTCCTCCTCGTCCTCCTCCTCCTGCTCCTCCTCCTCCTCCGCCCAAGCCTCGTTCTGTCCTCGCCCCCCTCCTCTCGTTCCACGGCAAGCTTCCTGCCGCGGCCGGCGCCCCAAGGGGAACAGGGAGGCCGCCAGCAAGTGGTTCACCAAGGCGGGCGCCACCGCCGCCCCTCGCTCTCTTGGCAGCCTCCGCGCGCAACCGGCCGGGCACGAAGGGGTAAATTTTGCCTCCTCCCCCGTCTCCTCGTCCCCTTCCTCCCCTCCTCCTACTCCTTCCTCATTCCCCTTCCTCCTCCCCAATTCCCCCCGTCAACCTCCTTTTCCTCCCTCCTCCCTATCCCCGTCCTCCTATAGCCTCCTCAGCCCTCCTCCTCAACCCTCCTCCTCCTCCTCCTCCTCGTCCTCCTTCCTCCTCATTCCCCTCCCTCCTCCCCCTTCACCTCCTCTTCCTCCTCCCTCCCCATCCCCGTCCTCCGATACCCTCCTCAACCCTCCTCCTCCTACTCCTCCTCCTCCTCCTCCTCCTCCTCCTCCTCCTCCTCATCATCATCATCATCATCATCATCATCCATTCCTTTGCCTCATGGATAACTCCTCCCTGTCCCATCCAGAGACCTGTCGAAAGGGCGGGCCGGGCGTTTCGCCTGAGACGTCCTCACCATTTACGATTTTGATGCTAAAGATTGGCAAGAGCTTTACAGATGGAGGGCGGGTGGTTTTCAAAATGTGGCTCTCGCCTTAGCGCCGCGCATTTTCGCTTCAAAAATTTGAGAGATTCACGATTTGAGGGCGGGTAGTTTTCAAAGTGTGGCTCTCGCCGTAGCGCCGCGCACACTCTTTTTGAACATTTGCAAGAGCTTCATGGATTGAGGGCGGGTCGTTTTCAACATGTGGTCCTTGCCTTGGCGCCGCGCACATTCGTTTGTGAGATCTGCCAGAGCTTTACGGATTGAGGGCGGGTGGTTTTCAACATGTGGTTCTCGCCATAGCGCCGAGCAAATTCGTTTAAACCAGTTGCCCGAATTTCACGGATTGAAGGCGGGTGTTTTTTAAAGTGGCTCTCGCCTCAGCGCCACGCAAATGCAAGAGTTTCACGGGTAGACAGCTGGTCGATTAAAAAATGTGGTCCTCGCTTTAGCGCCGCGCACATTCGTTCTAAGAAGTTGCCAGAGCTTCACGGGTTGAGGGCGGGTGGTTTTCAACATTGGTTCTCGCCTTAGCGCCGCGCACATTCGTTCTAAACATTCGCAAGAGTTCCACTGGATCTCATGGTTAACTAACTAGGAATGTTGTCTTGGAACGTTTCAGGATTGTCGGGGCGCAACAGTTACTTTGATTCGCGGTGATGAAGTCCCACGAACGGTGTTCTAGCACGGTTCATGATCGCCAAGACGTAATTTCCAGGTTAATTCGTGGCGTTGAAATCTTGAGTGTTGTGTTTTTGCGCACTTCGCGATGTTCACACAGTTGTCCCCCAACGGGGCAATTCCTTCAGTGGAAATGATCCTGTATAACTAGGGGCCTATGAAGAGGGATCTTGGAGGGAGGGTGTATTTCAACATCGTTGATGAGTCTTGGGTTTACACTGGTCATCCTCCTCCTTCTCCATTCGCTGTCCTTGTGAATGGCTCCTCCCTGTCACACCCCGAGGCCAGTCGGAAGGGCGGGTTGAAACAGGTGGTTTTCAAAATGCGGTTCTCGCCTCAGCGCCGCGCCATTCGTTTTAGATGATCTTGGCGACGGACCCAACCATATGCAGTTGTGAATACCAACGTTGTGAGAACCGCTTTCGGTGGAGCTCCCTACGGGGCCACGAAACGCATGAAGGGAGCGCCGAAATGGGGCGGGGCCGCCATGCGGGCGCTGCCGCTGGGGCCGCCCGCAGGGGGTTCGGAGGTCAGACGAAACGAGTTACATGCTGATGTAATCGGTTGCGGCTGACAGGCACCAGGAGGTGCAGGCGAAGACATGCGGGCACAGCCATTGGGGCCTTAGGTGGGGTTCCCTATGAGGCTACGAAACGTGTGAGGGTGTGCAGAAGTGATGGGGGTGGCGGCATGCGAACGCAGCCACTGGGGCCTTCGGTGGAGCTCCCTATGGGGCCACGAAACGTGTGAGGACCTTCGGTGGAGCTCCGTATGGGGCCACGAAACGTGTGAGGGGTGTGCCAAAGTGAGGGGGGGGGGCGGCATGCGGGCGCAGCCACTGGGGCCTTCGGTGGAGCTCCCTATGGGGCCACGAAGCGTGTGAGGGGTGTGTCAAAGTGAGGGGGGGGCGGCATGCGGGCGCAGCCACTGGGGCCTTCGGTGGAGCTCCCGATGGGGCCACGAAGCGTATGAGGGGTGTGCCACAGTGGGGGGGGGGGCGGCATGCGGGGGGTGCCCGCCGGGCGGCATGCGGGGGGTGCCCGCCCTAACGACACGCCTGGTGGTGCGACAGGGAGGCGTTACGGTCGGGAGCTTGTGCATAGCGTGTCGCTCCGTCGGATCCGGCCCACCACGCTCCAGCGCAGCACGAACTGCGTCCTGGTCCCCGAGCGTCAACGCCCCCGCCTTTCCCAGCTGTCCGCCTCGCGGAGCGGAGCGACACCCCATCCGCTTGCAGGGTATGGCGTGTCGCCGGGGCCGCCGCCGCGACACGTCACGCAGAAGTTCCGATCCGTCTCTGTAAGAAAGAGGAGTGCCAGAGAAGAAGGAGGGGGGAGGAGGACAAGGAGAAGGAGGAGGAGGAAGAAGAAGAAGAGAAGGAGTACGAGGAGGAGGAAGAGGAGGAGGAGGAGGAGGACGTGAACGAGGACGACGAGGAGGAGGAGTCCGCTGGCCCTCAGGGCTGCTAGCCAGCAGTGGTCACAGGGCCGCGCACACGGGAGGGGTCGCGGGCGCCATGGCGCGATCGGCAGTGCCGCTGCTCCTGGCGGCTGCCCGGAGGCCAGGGAACCGAGAGAAGGGTAGCTGGCGACCTTCAGATTCTCGTCATCCAGCTCCTCCTCCCCCTGCTCCTCCTCCTCCTCCTCCTCCTCCTCCTCTTCCTCCTCCTCCTCCTCCTCCTCCTCCTCCTCCTCCTCCTCCTCCTCCTTCTGCTTCTCCTCCTCCTCCTCATCATCATCATTATCATCATCATCATCATCATCATCATCATCATCATCATCATCATCATCATCATCATCATCATCATCATCATCATCATCATCCTCATCCTCATCCTCATCCTCATCCTCATGCTTCTCATCCAGCTCTTCCTCCTCCTGCTTGGTCACGGTCAAAAGGCCGAGCCTGAGCCAACTCAGGACACGCTGCGTGTCCTGAGCTGGTTCCGGCTGCTTTGGGTGGTCCTCGCAGCACGTCGGCGCAGGTGCTCGGCACAGGATCACGTTGTGTCACCGGTGTTCTTCCTCCTCATCATCCTCTTCCATCCCCCTTGCTTTTGGGTAACTCCTCCTCGTCGCACCGCCAGACGTTCCGGTAGGGCGGTGTGTGCGTTTCGCCTGAGACTTCCTCACCGCTTTCAATTCCGAGGATTGCATGTCCCGAACGCTACCCGGATGTGCTTCAGAATGGGGTTCTCGCCGGTGCGCCACGCATGTCTTTCTTCAAGGCTTACAGTTGCAACACGGATGGAGGGCGGGTGGTTTTCGAAATGTGGTTCTTGTTTCAGCGCCGCGCACACTCATGCGGCCCTCCCACCCCGGCGCCGCGCACATTCATGTTCAAAGTTCCCACCGTCTCACGGATTGAGGGGTCCTTACACGCATGGAGTTCTCGCTTCAGAATAGTTTTAAAAACAGGCGTGCAAGGCGTATTGTGCAACGGCTACACGGATGGAGGGCGATTATTGTTCAGCATCGATCTCTCGCCTGAGATGTCCTCAAAGATACGGCCAGACGCTTAGCACCCGTCGTGGGCGAAGCACATATCCACATCCGCGGGCTCGCGAGCCAGGCCTCGTTGGCGGCGACCACGCGGACACGGGGCGTGTTTCTTCGGATGCCCCGCGCGGAACGCACCCGTGCGGCCCGCACCCGCGGGACCGCGTTCCAGAGTCTGGACCGCGAGGGCGTGGATCCGGATATATTCGCCGCCCAGGCGGTCCTTGAGGGCGGCCCCCCTCCTCCCCCCAATGCCATAAAGGGGAAGGAGGTGAGACCGCGAAAGCGTCTGCGAGGGAAGGATCGCCTCGCCGCCGTCGCCCTCGGCCAAGCCCAGGCTTGCTGAGGCTCCCTTGCACGCTCTAAGTTCTATCTCGTGTGCGCGGATGGTTTCCCGCCCAGCCCTGCCTCAAAAAAAAAGTGTTCGCCGGGTGGGGGCTGTTCGAATCCACCCCCCCCCTCATTGGACAGGAGAGGCCCTCCCCTAGTTCGAACCCCCCACTCTTGTTGAGGGGGGCCCGCTCCCCCCCCCTCCTCTCCTCAAGGGGCAGGCCAGTGCCCAGGGGGGGGGGCCCTCCGGTCCTCCAGGGGTGCTCGATGTTTTGGACCCGCCCCCCCCCTGGATTTCGAACACCGACACACCTTGTCGGTCGTGGAGGAGGTGAAGGAGCAGGAGGAGAAGGAGGAGGAGGAGGAGGAGGACAAGCAGGAGAAGGAGGAGGAGGAGGAGGAGAAGGAGAAGGAGGAGGAGGAGGAGGAGGAGGAGGAGGAGGAGGAGGAGGTCGGTGGAGGGCGGTCCCTGCTCCAGGGGGGGGCGTCGCGCTTCCTGGCCCTGCCGCGTGCTCCTCGGGACGGCTCCCTCCGTGGGCGCCGCGGGGCCCTCGCCCGCCACGGCAGGCCCGTGGAGCGCGCTCGCCTCTCGGAGAGGGGGGCGTCCTTCGCGCTCGGGAGGAATGCAGGCAGGGACCTGCGAGGAGCGGGCCTGAGGAGGAGGAGGAGGAGGAGGAGGAGGAGGAGGAGGAGGAGGAGGAGGAGGAGGAGAGGGAGAGAAGGAGAAGGAGAAGGAGAAGGAGAAGGAGAGGAGAAGGAGAAGAGAAGAGAAGGAGAAGGAGAAGGAAAGGGAGAAGGAGGAGGAAGAGGAGGAGGAGGAGGAGGAGGAGGAGGAGGAGGAGGAGGAGCGGACCTGGGGTGGGAGCGTGCGTTGCAGCACTGTGGATGCATCCTGGGTTGTTTACGCTGGTCCCTCCTCCCCCTCCGCCTCGAAGCCTCGGAACTGCGGGCTTCGGTGCCGAATTGGCGCAGTCCTCCCCCCCCCTGGGGGGCATGCGCCGCTGGGGGGGGGGAGGGGCAGCCAGGATCTCCAACGACGTCCCCTGAAGAGTGGGGGAGGGGGGGGGAGGGGGGCGACGGAACGACGAGGACGACAGGGAGGTCTGCGACTGAAGGCTCAAATGGAAAGGGGGAGGGGGAGGGGAGGATGTGGTGGCAATTTTCTCCCCCATCCTTCTATCTCGCGCGCGGGAGACGGAACAGCGAAGAGGAGGACGATGAGGTCGAGAGGGGGGGAAGAGCAGGAGGACGAGGCGGAGGAGACTGATAGGAGGAGGGGATAGACAAGGTTTGGAAGAGGAGGAGGACGACGACGACGAGAAGGAGAAGGAGGAGGAGGAGGAGGACGAGGACGAGGACGAGGACGAGGAGGGAGGAGGGACGAGGAAGGAGCAGGATGCGTAGGAAGAGGAGGAGGAAAAGGAGGAGAAGGAGGACGAGGACGAAGACGAGGAAGACGAAGAGGACGACGAGGAGGAGGACGAGGAGACTGAAGAGGAGGACGACGAAAAGGAGGGAAGAGGACAAGGAGACGGACGAGGATGAGGAGGATAAGGCTGACGACGTGGACAAGGAGGAGAGGACGGGTTGGGTATCCCTCCGTCCGGCCCCTTGGAAGCGTGAGCGCGGTGGATCTCGTGACCTTCGACGGGACACCCGCGACGACCTTCAAGTTCGTGGAGCTCAACGACCCGGTCATCCCCATCCTCATCCTCCCCCTCCTCTCTCTCCTGCTCCCCGTATTCCTCCTCCTCCTCTTCCTCCTCCCCCTTCTCCTCCTCCTCCTCCTCCTTCTCTCCCTCCTGCTCTTCATCCCACTCCTCTTCTTCCTAGTCGCACCTCCTTCCTCCTCCCCCTCCTCATCTTGTTCCTCATCATCCCCCTCATCCTCGTCTCATTCCTCCTTCCTCTTCCTCCTCCTCCTCATCCTCCTCCTCCTCGTCGTCTTTCTCCTCCTCCTCCTCCTCCTTCTCCTCATCCTTCCTCCTCCTCCTCCTCCTCCGCCTCCTCCTCCAGAGCTTCCACGGCGTGGTCCCCACGCGTGAGGAGCGTAGGTCGCTGGCCCGTGAGATGTGCAGACGAGCATGGGCCAGAATGCGTCGCGCCCGCGCTGCACATCAAGCGCACATGCCTGGCCTCAGACTCGGCAAGTCCGACAGCTGGAACGAGCGGATGAGGAAGCATCGTCGGGCCCTAAAGGATGCGAGCAGGTTCGGGGGCATGACGACACAGGGCCGTGTGCAGTGCCATCCCGCTCCTCGTCGTTTCCCGAAGGCAGAGCCGATGGAGCAGTCTGACTCAGATGGAGACTCAGATGGAAGCCGAAAAGGCGAGACTGCCAAAAGTCCGTCAGAAACCGATGCCAAATCCATAAGTGTTGCATCTTGCAGCCCTCTCGGGAGTGCTCTTGAAGGCCTCTTGGAGCGTCTGCGAGGCTTCTTGGGCCGTCTGAAGGCCATCTTGGGCGTCTTGGCGCGATCTTTGGGCGTCTCGGGACCCACGTGGTGGGTATGTGCGGATGCGTCCTGGGGCCTGGGCGGCGCGGCCCCGCCCTGAGCCCAATGGTTGCGGGCGCTTCCGTCCTCCAGAGGTCGATCCTCCGTCTGCGCCTGCCTGAGTCAGCGGAGGTCGAGCCTCCAGCCACCAGCCCTGGGCGCAGGGCGACCCCGCTGCCGCAGCGGTGGGCCTCTCGACGCGTGCTTCTGTCGCGTCAGTCGGCGGCGGCCAGCGGCAGGGCTGCAGCTGGCGGAAGTGAGGCCGGAGGCCCCATCGGGCCCGCCTTGAAGAGGGCCAGGACCAGCCCAGGGCCCGCGAGTCGGCTTGCCGAGCCTGCGCCCTCTGCCGTGCCCGCGCCGACCTGCCCGCGCGAGCCCCGACCAGAGGGCGCGCGGAGGGCGAGCCTCTGCTGCCACCACTCTGACTACGCCCGACTCGATGCCGCGTGCCGCCAGCGTCCGCCCGTGGCAAGCGTCTCGAAAAGGCCGGGGAGCGCCCGGCGTGCACGGCGTGCGGCCCGGTCCCCACCGAGGCGGGCCGCGGTGAGCAGACGCGAGCCCGCATTGCTGCAGCAGGCCCGCCGCCGAGCAAGGGCGAGTTCGGCCGAACGGCGCGGGACAGGGATCCCGACGGAGAATCGAGGCCGAGCCCTGCCCACTCGGACCAGTTCGCCTCAGACAATGGCTGCACGTGGGCTGGGCTCGCCTGGCGGCCCCATGTCGTTTCAGCCCCGCTCGTCGCTCGCGGAGCCATGCCGCCTATGGCCGTGCGGCGGCCCTGATAGCCCCTCTGCCTGGCTGTGCCTTGAAGGCTAGGCCGCCAGTGGCCCAGCTGTGGATTGCACCGCACTGCATTCCGCGCGGAAGCCAGAGTTCTGATCATCATGATTATCACCATCATCACCATCATCATCATCCTCATCCTCAGCATCAACATCCTCAACCTCCTCATCCTCATCATCACCTTCATCAGCATCATCACCAGCACCACCATCATCATCACCATCATACCATCATTATCATCCATCCTTCCTTTTCCCCACTCCCCAATCTTCGTAAGTCGGGCCTGTCCCTCTACAGGGGGAATATTCAAAAATAGTCAAAAACTAGTCGGGGGACGATGTTCTACTTTTAGGAATGTTTGTAGTATTTTTCACTATTTTGAATTTTTCCCCCAAATCCCCCCCAAATCCCCGTGTAGGGGGACAGGCCCGACCTAACCCCAGTCCCCTGCTCATCTCCCTCCAGGTCATGGGTGGACGCTCCACTGGGACCTGGACCCTGAACGCCACGGCGCAGGCTGGCGTGTTCGACGGAGATCCGGAGGTGGCGGAAACGTTGCCCCCGCCATTGCGAGATAAGCAAAAGGAAGAGGGGGGGCTTTTTGTAACAGAACTGTTGTCATTCTGTTTACGTCGCTTGCAGCATACTGCTGGCAACAGGAGGAGGAGGAGGCGGAGGAGGAGGAGGAGGAGAAGGAGGAGGAGGAGGAGAAGGAGGAGGAGGAGGAGGGGGAAATGGAGGAGGAGGAGGAGGAAGAGAAGGAGGAGGAGGAGGAGGAGGAGGGAGAGGGGAAGGAGGAGGGGAGGAGGAGGGAGAAGGGGGGAGGTGGAGGAGGATGGTTATAGATAGTCGTAAGATAAGACTATTACGAATCGGACGGTTGGTAAATAATGGTTGTAATAATGTCGATACGGTGAACAACCATAAATAATAAGACTTTGAAGGATAAAGAGGAGAAGAATAAGAAGAATAAGGGCAATGAAAACAAAAGGCACCATAATAGTTATGAAAATACCAACAATAGTAATACATAAAAAAGAGTACATAGGAGTGATAAGAACACTACTAATGCGTCACTATAGTACGAATATCAACAGTAGCAGTAACGACACAGAACAATAGTCATGCTAATACGGCTAGTATTAAGGTGGAATGATAATAAGACTGGCGCTGATACTAATACTAGTGACATTGTATAGACAGATGAATAATAATAATACTAATAATACGAATAGTTGTATGAATTGTGCAAACAATACTGATACTATCGTATATAATAGACATAATGGTAATAGTGATCTTGATATCACGCGTTTAAAACTTAATCCTCATCAGCAGCATCATCAGCATGTTAACCATAATCACCATATGAGTAACACGAACAATACGAATAGTAACACTCGTTAATATCATGCTGACAATGATCCTGCTGATAATGGTAAGACTAATAATGGCGATTCATCTAATAATGATGATGAACGTACTAGTTGTGCGACTGATCATACTAGAAAAGTAGCAATAACGAAAGAAGGAGGTATTCTCCCCCCTCATCCTCCTCCCTCCAGTTGCCGCTTCCGCAGGCGAGGTTGTGGACGTCCCCAGCCTCAAGGCTCCAGGGTTCATCAAGGCCGCCGCGGACGGCAGCTTCCCAGACGCGTCGAGCGCCGCAGATGGAGACCTGGTCCTAGAGGTACGAGGGGAGCGTCAACTGCAAACTCGCACCGACCCCCGCGAGGCCCACCCTGGTCCATGACGCCGAACGCAGGACCACTTCGGACTCGAAAGGGGCTCCGGTGTTCGGGCCGTTCCTCGGGCCTGGGTCGGGGAGCCTATGCGTGGCCGCGTCTCGCCGGGGACAGGAAAGCCGAACAGCCTCCCCGCTCCGTGTTCAGCGCTCCTCGCGGTAGCGCGAGGACGGTATTTTGTTCATGCGCCCTCCTGGCTTGGCACGGCAGGCTTGCACACCGCTCCCGGGCCCAGGGCCGGCGTCAATGCGCAGCTCCGACGCCCGCTCCAGGTCCGCTCCACGACGCCCGAGTACGAGGGCTTCCGCGTCTCCTTCGCCTCGGGCACCCTGTCCGCGGCGTACGCCTGCGCGGGCGGGGGGTCCTCCGGGGCAACGGGACGACTGGGGACTCTGGCTTAGCGCGTCGCTCCGCCAGTTCTGGCCCACCGCGCCTCGGCGCGACACGCTCACCACGGCCTCGTCCCCAGGCGTCAGCTTCCCAGGCTTCTCCCGAGCCTCCCGCCCCGCGGGGCAGGAGGACACCACATCCGCTCGCACGGCACAGCGTGTCGCCGCGGGCTGCCGCCGCCGCGACACGCCAGCGAAGGGGGGGTTAGGCTCAGGGGTGGATGCGTCGGCCCCCGATCGCCCATTCACCGTTGATGGGGCCAGGAGCGTGCGGATTCACTATCCTGGGCCCATCGCCGATCTGTCAGCGGTGCATCGCCGATTCCGAGTCGACGTCTCCCCCCCAGAGTCAGTCCGCTTGGTAAGGCTGCGGGTTGCGCACAGAGGTTGTCCCGGCTGGCCTCAACAGGCTCCCTGAGTAATCTGGGGCAGTCTCAAGACCCCAACCTTGGGCGCGGAGCGCCCCAGGGGCGCCGCCAGAGGCGGCGCCAGGGTATTGAGATCGCCGCGTAAACTCGGGAGGCGTGTTGAGGCCAGCCAGGACAAATTACCTGAGGGGGGCTGTCCGTGCGCAACCCGAAGTTTTGCTATAGGCCGGTCCCCTCTTCTTTATCTCGATGATCCTCAGACGTGTGTGAACCCAAAGCGTGTGTGTTACCCCGTGTAGCTTCGCCGATAGCGCGTAACCGGTGTCGGCCCTCGTTACCCCGCCTGCGTCGTATTGAAGCACCTCGGTGGGCAAGCACACGCACACGTGAGCGCTATCGATTATCGCTGCCCCTCAGGTCCATCCCCCTCAGCCGGGGCTGCTTCAAGGCCAGCTTCTCGGTGCCGGCGGGCGACGACTTCTCTTCGGTGCGGATCCCCCTCCGGGCCTTCAGCCTCGGGGGTTGCCAAGGATGCCCCTTGCCCAAGGTGGTCCCCAGGAGTCTTGGGGAGACCCAGATGGCCTCCAGAGCACCCCTCGCAAGGCCCAGACGGCTGGCTCTAGGTGCTCCAAAAAAGCGCGAAACGCTGGAGACACCGTGCCCTGAGATTTGACGTCGCGAAAAAATGGAAGCATCGCAAAAAGTCACCACTGGAGCCCTGAACTTCCTCTTTCTGCTGCATTTGTCGAGCTGGATCCATCTGTGAGGGCCCCGGGGCCCAAGACAAGGCGCAGACGCCCGGCTCCAGAAAATCGAGGCTCGAAACCCTGGGGAAAACCTTGGACCAGGACCACTTCTGGCAACGCCCGGCCGGCGACAAGTGGAGCCCCGCCACCGGCAAGCAGACGGCCACCTGCGCCCAGGACTCGGACGTGTGCCCGACGGCCGCGAAGCTTGCGAAGATCGTCCGCCTGGAGATCTGGGCCGAGGCAGGGCGGCCACAGCTGGGGGGCCTCGGGTCCCGGCCCACTGGGTCGAGGAGCATCGAAGACGAAAAACGGCATCAGCATACGGTAGGGGCGTTCGTTAAGGAGTGTGCTCGGGAGGCTGCAGGCCCTGGAGGATGCCTTGTCTGACGAACGGCGGCGCTGCTTATCTATAGCCGTTCCACGATTAGAGTTTCACCGGCTTCCAGACTCTGGATTCTTTGTCTCACGGTTCCTTTTCCAATGCCCTCAGTAAGTTTTCGGAGTTCTGCGAGCATCTCTTGGATCTGCGCTGGAGCTCGCTGGCGGCGCCGCCCCTGGCGCGGGAGGCGGGTTCAGTGCAGATCCAGGAAGTCCGCGCGGACCTCCGAAGGTATATGTTTACGCCGTTGATTGTGCCCCGAGAAAATAAAACGGCACACAGGAGGCGCATCGAATAGGAAATATGCCTGCCAGCAGGTGCCACACAGAAATTCCTTCCCCCCGATGGCCCCATAGCAGCTCTGAGGCACCCTAGGACCCGCAAGCATCAACGAAGAATGTGCCCCAGGACTTCTTACGGCAAGATATCTGACCACGTGTGTCGGTCGACTGTAAGCATACATGTTGGGAGGTCTGCGCGGATTATGATCATGTTGGTCTTCCTTCTTCTGATTATTATTAGTAGTATTCTTCTTCCTCTTACCATTCGTTTTTTGAAATGAAATGATTCATACGACAACAACTACTACTACTACTACTACTACTACTACTACTACTACTACTACTACTACTACTACTACTACTACTACGACTACGACTACGACTACTACTGCGACTACTGCGACGACTACTACTACTACTACTACTACTACTACTACTACTACTACTACTACTACGACTACGACTACGACTACTACTACTACTACTACTACTACTACTACTACTACTACTACTACTACTACTACTACTACTACGACTACTACTGTCACGGTTATTTCGACGACTACTACTACTACTTCTACTGCTACTATGACTACTACTTCTGTTTCTACTACCACTACTGCTACTACTACTATTACTACTACTACTACTACTACTACTACTACTACTACTACTACTACTACTACTACTGCTACGACTACGACTACGACTACGACTACGACTAATACGATTACTTCTGCTACTACTATTATTACTACTACTACTACTACTATTACTACTACGACTACCACTACTACTACCTGTACTGCTACGACTACGATGACTACAGCTAGTCCTACGACTACTACTACCAATACTACTACTCCTATTATTAATAATAATAATAGTACTACTACTGTTACGAGTACGACTACGACGACTACTACTACTACTACTACTACTATTACTACTACTACTACTACTACTACGACTGCTACCACTACTACTACTACTACTACTACTACTAGTACTACTACTACTACTACTACTACTACTACTGATACCTCTACGACTACTAGCTTGACTACCACTACTACTACTACTACTACTACTACTACTACTACTACTACTACTACCACTACTACTACTACTACTACTACTACTACTACTACTACTACTACTACTCCTACTACCACGACTACTACTACTTACTACTAAACTACTACACACTGCTACTACTAACTACTACTACTACTATACTACTACTACTACTACTATGACTACTACTACGACTATACGAACTACTACTACTAACTACTACTACTACTACTACTAACCTCTAATAGCGATGTCTAGGTACTATCTGACAGACTGACTTACAACTACTACTACTACTAAACTACTACTCTATTTCGACTACTACGACTACTACTCCCTCTATTACTACTACTCTACTACTACTACTACTACTACTAACAACTAACTACTACTACTTAGTATTCTACTACTACTACTACTACTATGCTACTACTGTCTACTACTAACTACGTAGTACTACTACCACTACGACTACTACTAACTACTGCTACTACCACTATACTTCGACTATTTGACTACTACTACTACTACTACAACTAAACTACTACTCTAACTACTACTACTACTACTACTACTACTACTAATAATTAACGACTACTACTACTACTAACTACTACTACTACTACTGTACCAATACTTTCTACTACTACTACTACTACTACTACTACTCCACGCACTAACTACCACCACTACTACTACTACGACTACTACTACTACTACTACTACTACTATACTACTACTACTACTAATACTACCAACGACTGCTACCACTAGTAACTACTAATGGCGTACTACTACTACTACTACTACTACTACTACTACTACTACTACTACGACTAGACTACTACTACACTTTTACTACTTACTACTACTACTACTACTACTGCTAACTACTACTACTACTACTAATACTACTACTACTACTACTACTACTACTACTACTACTATTACTACTACTACTACTACTACTACTACTACTACCACTACTACTACTACGTCTACCTACTACCTAACAGTTACTACCTACTACATACTACCTACTACTACGTCTACTTCTTCTTCTACTACTACTACTACTACTAGTACTACGACGACTACTACTACTACTTATACTACTACTGCTCCTACTAGTCCTACGCCTGCTACCACGACTACGACTACGACTTCCCTCACTACTACTCCTACGACTTCTGCTTCTACTATGATACTACGACCACTACTACTACTACTACTACTACTACTACTACTACTATTACTACTACTACGACTACGACTACTACTACTACTACTACTACTACTACTACTACTACTACTACTACTACTACGACTACTACTGCTACTATTTCTACTACTACGACTACTACTACCTCTACTACTA